ACCTGCAGACTGCAATGTTTTTATTTGTTGGCTTATAGGCTATTTTTACACAGTTGGCAATGACAATATAAGTTACTTTTTAGGTTTGTATCATTTTCATTTAGATTTGGATAGAATTTTGATTAACCACATGACAATAATTTTGACATATGAAGACATTATCAATGTAAACTGAAAATGTGCATATGAAAACCATAACTAGCACGCAGGTCGGTAGAAATGGTAAGATAAATTGGCATTCCACATGAGAAAGGTTGCCAAGTCCTCATGTAGCCTATTACCAGCAACTTCAGGAGAGTAATGGCAGAATCTGAGAAAGCCAGCAGGAGCGGGAGGAGAATGTTTGGGTCAGGCTACGTTATTTTTTTTCTTTGTGTCTTATTTCATCAAACAGTAAGCTTAAAGAATCAGACAAGCTCAATGCATATAGTTGATTTTATTAAAAAACATAGGGTGTGTCTATATGGAAAAATACACAATGTCAACCAATAGATTGGTAGAAAGAACAGACGACTTTCGGTCGACCAAGATTTTCTTTAGTCGGGGACAGCCATAAGTGCCACCCACCCGTATTTTCTTATTTTAAAACAGCAATCAACTACCTTACCAGGATATATTGTTGACAAGAGGTCATTTTACAGGTTTGCAAATAACTCATTTAGCAAGTTGTACAGTACACGCAAATTGATCATTTTCTTCTCAGATTGGTTGTCTTACATTACCTCACAATATCATAGACTCCATAAATTGTGAGCTCATTTGTTGATAAAATAATTACTAAGGAAATTGTGGAAAGAAACAGTCATTGATGGTCTAATGGTGGATGTTGATTAACCCCCGCAGCTCTCTGATTTAAGGGGGATGGGTTAAATGGGTAAGACCCATTTCAGTTGAATGCATTCTGTTGTACCACTGACTAGGTATCCCCCTTTCCCTAATGTAAGAGAGATGCCCCGTGTGAGGTGCATATACTGGGAGTTACGCGTATGTTTCGTTTGCTGATTATATAGTTGAATTGATGGATGTATATTGATCTGTAACTAGTGTTGGGGTCGTTACAACAAAAAAGTAACATATGAACTATTACTTTTTTCAACAATAACAAATTACTTCACTTATTACTCCCTGGGAAAAGTAATTAGTTACACTACTAAGCGGCTATATCGTTCCGCTAATAAAGGACTAGTAAAGGACCAGTGCACTACTTTATTATTGTTATTAAGATTTTTGAGGGGGTGCTGCAGCACCCTCAGCACCTCTACTTCCCGCAGCTATGTAGTAATGGCTCCTGAGGGGATGGCTGTTAGTTTTTTCGTGTTGCTTGTAACTTATTTTTAACTTATTGTGTACACAATGTTGCTGCTACCATCTCTTATGACCGAAAATAACTTCTGGACATCAGAACAGCGATTACTCACCTCGAACTGGACGAAGATTTTTTCTTTAACCTCTTAAGGATTATTTTTTTGGTTCCATCATCTTTGAAATGCAAGAGAAAGGCCACATTATAATATTGCAGTTTAGTTTAGGTGCCATTTCGATTTTGGCCACTAGATGGCAGCAGTGTGTGCAAAGTTTCAGATTGATCCAGTGAAGCATTGCAATACTGGACTATTTTGTATCAAGTCTGCCCAAATGTGCCGAATTGGTCAATTGATACATTTTCAAGTACATAACTACAGAGAACATACAAGAATGACATGGTAATACAAAATGTAAGTTTACACACTCCCAGGAATGTCATACATGATGGATCATTAGCTTATACACTAACTTTCACACATCTAGATGGCCGGGCGTGGTGGGTGTGGAGTCAGACAGCAGGGATTCAAACTGTAGAACCCAGTTCCTACATTTGAATATAAAAATGGATTTTATCAAACAAAACTATGCTACATTTTATCTCTGGGACCATTAGGATGACAAATCAGAGCAAGATTACTGAATGCAAGTACATAATTTACCTTCAGAGGTGAACCAGTTGCCGTGATAATTTTTTTGTTGTGCACTCTCCTCAAACAATAGCATGGTATTTTGTCACAATAATAGCTACTGTAAATTGTACAGTACAGTTAGATTAACAAGAATTTAAGCTTTCTGCCCACATTAGACATGTCTATGTCCTGGAAAGTTTGCTGTTACTTACAACAGTCATGCTAATGACATTAGCATACATTAGCTCAACTGTCCCGTATACGGGACACCAATCCCGTAGAGGGTAACAAGTCCGACGCGAAGGATATACTGCTTTCTCTGGAACGGGCCCATTTGCGTGAAAAAAAGACTGAGATAAAGGTGGCGTAGGTTGGGCTGCCTTCTGAGAATTCATAGACAAGATAGTAAACCACTACCATCCGTTCTACTGGCCAACGTGTAATCATTGGAATATCTTGTGTTTCACCGAGTCGTGGCTGAACGACGACACAGATAATATAGAGCTGGCGGGATTTCCATGCATCGGCAGGACAGAGATGCTACGCCTGGTAAGACGAGGGGCAGGGTTGTGTGTCTATTTGTCAATAACAGCTGGTGCGCGATGTCTTATATTAAAGAAGTCTTGAGATATTGCTTAACTGAGGTAGAGTACCTCATGATAAGCTGTAGACCACACTATCTACCAAGAGAGTTCTCATCTATATTATTCGTAGACGTCTATTTACCACCACAAACAGATGCTGGCACTAAGACCGCACTCAACGAGCTGTATAAGGCCATAAGCAAACAAGAAAATGCTCATCCAGAAGCGGCGCTCCTAGTGGCCGGGGACTTTAATGCAGACAAACTTAAATCCGTTTGACCTAATTTCTACCAGCATGTCACATGTGCAACCAGAAGAAAAAAAATACTCTAGACCACCTTTACTCCACACACAGAGACGCATACAAAGCTCTCCCTCGCCCTCCATTTGGCAAATCTGACCATAATTCTATCCTCCTGATTCCTGCTTACAAGCAAAAACTAAAGCAGGAAGTACCAGTGACTCACTCAATACGGAAGTGGTCAGATGACGCGGATGCTACGCTACAGGACTGTTTTGCTAGCACAGACCAGAATATGTTCCAGACAACATCCAATGGCATTGAGGAGTATACCACCTCAGTCATCGGCTTCATCAATAAGTGCATCGACGACTTCGTCCCCACAGTGACCGTACGTACATATCCCAACCAGAAGTCATGGATTACAGGCAACATCCGCATCAAGCTAAAGGCTAGAGCTGCTGCTTTCAAGGAGCGGGACACTAATCCGGACTCTTATAAGAAATCCTCCTACGCCCTCAGACTAACCATCAACAAGCTAAGCATCAATACAGGATTAAGATTTAATCCTACTACACCGGCTCTGATGCTCGTCCATGTGGCAGGGCTTGAAAACTATTACGGACTACAAAGGGAAACCCAGCCGTGAGTTGCCCAGTGACGCGAGCCTACCAGACGAGCTAAATGCCTTTTATGTTCGCTTCGAGGGAAACAACACTGAAGCATGTATGAGAGCACCAGCTGTTCTGACGACTTTGTGATAACGCTCTCGGTAGCCGATGTGAGCAAGACCTTTAAACAGGTCAACATTCTCAAATCCACGGGGACAGACGGATTACCAGGACGTGTACTCAAAGCATGCGCGGACCAACTGGCAAGTGTCTTCACTGACATTTTCAACCTCTCCCTGACCGAGTCTGTAATACCTACATGTTTCAAGCCGACCACCATAGTCCATGTGCCCAAGGAAGCGAAGGTAACCTGCCTAAATGATTACCGCCCGTAGCCCTCACGTCGGCAGCCATGAAGTGCTTTGAAAGGCTGGTCATGGCTGACATCAACAGCATTATCCCGGATACCCTAGACCCACTCCAATTCACATACCGCCCTAACAGATCCACAGATGATGCAATCTCAATCGCACTTCACACTGCCCTTTCCCACCTGGACAAAAGGAACAGCTACGTGAGAATGCTGAAAAGATTTGGCATGGGTCCCCAGATCCTCAAAAAGTTATACAGCTGTCGAGAACATCCTGACTGGTTGCATCACCACTTGGTATGGCAACTGCTTGGCATCTGACCGTAAGCCGCTACAGAGGGTAGTGCGTACGGCCCAGCACATCACTGGGGCCAAGCTTCCTACCATCCAGGACCTATATACTAGGCGGTGTCAGAGGAAAGCCCAACAAATTGTCAAACACTCCAGTCACCCAAGTCATAGACTGTTCTCACTGCTACCGCACGGCAAGCGGTACCGGAGCGCCAAGTCTAGGACCAAAAGGCTCCTTAACAGCTTCTAGCCCAAGCCATAAGACTGCTGAACAATTAATCAAATGGCCACCAGGACTATTTATATTGACACCCCCCACCTCCATTTGTTTTTACACCGCTGCTACCCGCTGTCTATTATCTATGTAGTCACTTTACCCCTACCTACATGTAGAAATTACCTAGACTAACCTGTACCCCCTCACATTGACTCGGTACCGGTACCCCCTGTATATAGCCTCGTTAATGTTATTTTATTGTGTTACTTTTTACTTTATTTGGTAAATATTTTAACTCTTTCTTGAACTGCATTGTTGGTTTATAAGGGCTTGTAAGTAAGCATTTCATGGTAAGGTCTATACCTGTTGTATTCGGTGCATGCATCAAATAAAGTTTGATTTGATATATGTCTTTAGTAGCAGATCAGGTCTTGGAATTTTTCCGCTGTTGGCGTGTTGACTTTGCAGGTGCTTCAAGAGTTTAGAAGTCGTGTTTTTTTTTTATATTGCACAAACAGAGGGAATACTAATCATCACAAATATTAATTTGGATAAATAACTAATAGGAAGGGAATGATAACAAAAGTAATGACGACTTATCTTTGATCAGTAAATGTAATATTATTACTCAAATTGGAACAGTACCGTTATATTACTCGTTACCACAAAAAGTAATATTATTCCTGTACTGCGTTACCCCCAATACTGTTTGTAACCAAATGCATCTCAAAGTTTGAACCGTACATTGTAGCCTATGCTGTTTCTCTGACATTGCGTTCCGTTCTTGGTTTCAGATTTCCACCTATGTCATTGACCTGAAAAGATAATGCAAGCTTCTAAGATTAGAACACTAATTGTACCTTTACCTACACAACCTGTAAACCTGATCTGCTACTATACAGACCAAATCAATTGAATTGATACATTATTGCAATTTGCCTTTTTGTCTGCAATAAACGATATGTTCTTATGAAAAAGTGAAACTGGTCTGAGTGGCTCTAAAAATGAGGGAGAACCTGAGTACACTGTAATCCGATATTACACAGATTATTAAACCCACCAGCTCCTGGCTGAGCAGTCTGGCCAGCTTCTCGTCGTTCTCCAGCTGCCTCTCCTCGTGCTTCCTTCTCTCCTCCGCCAGGCGCTCCTCCTCGCCTGCGAGGAGACTCTGGATGTACTCCTCACTTGCTTTCCTCTCTGCCTCCTCCAGGGTACGCTTCTCCTCTAATAGCTGGAAAAGGGTCAGAGGTCATGTCAAGTGTATTCTATGTGACTATAGAGTGTAGTAAAATGTAAACTTGCATTATAACTTGGGCCAAGAGTTTTCCCTGAGGCCGCGATCGGACCATAAAAAAAACTGTAGAACCTAGGTCCATAACTATGGCCCAGAGTTTTTCCTGGTCACGTTACGTGGTCAGGAAAAACTCAGGACCAGGAAAAACTCAGGACCCTAGGTATAATTTACCCTGATAATTCACCTTGCTGATTTGTTCCTCGTACTCTCTCCGTACCTCTCCAGGCTGACTGACTTTGGGTCCGGGGACCAATACTGGAGGCAGAGGGAAATGGAAGGTAAACAAACAGGTCAACCGACCTCGTGTAACCCACAACAGTGAGAATAAATAGATTTGTCTGATTCCAAGGTGCTGTGTGGACCCATAATTACCTTAAAGCATACCCAACCCAGCTGTACTAAAGGACACAGGCCATTTGGATGTCACTTATTGTTAAATTAATGTTAAATGGAAAACACATACAGTGTGTCAGTCACTTAACTGTTTTCATCCTCCTCCTCCTGTCCACTGAGCCTGCGTTGGCACTGCATGGGGAACGCCACCTGCACCCGCTGCCACAGCTCATCGTTGACCAGGGTCTTGTTCCGGCCGTTGAGCCGTGCCCACGTTGACACCCGCTTGCGACACAGCGGGCAGCACAGATTGGCCTTGTCCACCGTCTCCAGGAAGCAGGGCTTGCAGAAGGTGTGGCTGCACGGCAACGTCACCGGCTCCAGAAAGATCTCTAGGCAAACAGGGCAGAGGCAGTCGGCTCGGGACAACCCCCCCGTGACTTCCCCCTCTGGCGCGGCCATCTCCATTTCAGACACTGGCGGCATCGCTCTGCTTTTCTTTCTGTGGATGCCTCCTTCTGTAGTTGTATCAAGTCCAAATGCACACCAGTGGTTCCTGTGTTGTTTCAGTGGCTAACTCTGTAAGGGAGGAACAGTCAAAGTAATCAAGTAGAAGCCACATTAGCTAGCTAAAATAATTTACTTACATGTAGCTAGGTATCTAGCTAGCTAGCAAAATAGAGTTACTCTAAGAGTATGCTCAGACAAACCATAGCTAAAAGATTTAGCAAGTTTGCTAGGCTTAGCTATATAAATGGTTACCTATTACAATAGGAGAGAACTAGCTAGCTAGCCAGCCAACTATAAAGTTCCAAACTAAAGCCAAGGTAGCCAGTTTTGTATCAGTGCTAAACCTCAAGCACTAACAACGGAGTTGAGAATTCTTGGCTATCGAAAAACAAGTTACATTACAAGCTCTGATAGAATTTACGAATGAATAGCATTTAAATGTCCATACATTGACGACATCTACTTATAAGAGTTTTGTTTGCAGCCCCAGAAAAACATACGCATAGTGCTTGAAATCCCGGGCAAATCATCAGCGTCTCGTCAGCAACACTAAAAAGGTACTTCCGTGTCACGGAATTTCGAAAATGTCCCAAATAAAAGTCCTCCACGTAATAGTAGAAAAGTGTCAATAACCTGTTTCTATTCAAAATTATTGTCTAAACATTAAAGAATGATTCATATTTGTTCATATTTAACTGACATTTGAATTAAATGTGGGTTTTAAAACTTGTTCCTAAGTCAAAGAAATGCCCCCAATGCGAATCACTGTATATGGAATGCATATTGGTTTAAGAGCAAAAACTATTCTGCGTGCCGCAGTAAAAGTATTGTAGGGAATACTCAGTAAGGTCTGTAGAATGTATATATGGTGTCAGTTCACGGGGCTTTGAATAATACGAAGTGTTTCTGGCCTTTTATGGAGAGATGGACATTTTACCTGGACGAAAATGTGGGAGGGTCATGCTTTTTCAATTTCAGTCTGGGGGGAGGATTTAGTATTTTTAAAATTTAGTCCAGGGGAGGGTCATATCATTTGTAATCGATTAAATGTAATATTGATCAGGGTTTTACAATTAGTTGCGTGTTATAGTATCTCATGTGTGCCTGATGATGCCCCCCATCCCTGATTCTCTGCTGTGTGCGCAATATCAAGTGTGCCTAGGCTATAAGAAGAGCATGCTCGGAGAAGCACAGGGCAAAGTTATATTTCTAAGAAAATGTACTACTTTCCCAAGTTTTTGCACTGCTGGGATGGAGTATATAAACTAGGTTACACTGCATTACACACTGCAATGGATAGCCATTCCCAATCATGAGCAGTGGCCTGCCCTGCTCTTGCTGATGTAAACCCTTTTGCACTGCCTAACCAATGACTGTGCTGTGTATGGTGGCACTTCAGGAGGCGAGTCAATTTGTCAAAAAAAAGTATATATCTGTACGCACAGACTAGGCCTACCCCAGCTAGCATCAGGACGTTAACGTTAGCTGACTGACAGTGGTACTAACGATCGCTAGCTAGCAAGCCTTATGTTCACGTTAATTTAGCTAGCTAACATTTTGTATTAGATATATATAGTGAACATAGCTATCAATTTAGACAGTACGCTAGCTACATTAATTTAATCATAGTCATCCACTGTTTTGTTGTGTTGAACATTTCCCTTATCCATAGCTAGCTAGGCTAATGTTGGACATCTTAGAGTAAGCCCTCCTAAGTAACATAAAGTTAGCTATAGACAACGATAAGTAGCTAGCTAGTTTCATAAACCACCATGTGTAACTTAGCTAGCTAGCTACTACTTAGTCAGTCATGCACATGCTGTCTCTTTGTCTCTCTTGTGTGCAGAACAGACACTAGCCTAGCTAACGTTAAGTTAGTACAGTAGCTAGCTAGCCATTTGATTTGTCTCAATGTTAAAGGACAATTCCACCCAAAAACTATCTTTTGGTATTTGTTTCATTAGTCCATTGTTGACATAGTCCCGAAATGTTTTGCTTGTCAGCACTCAAGTTTTCAAGATATGTAACTTCAAAAGTTGTCGACTTCTCTCTGTTAGTCTTTTATTGTGCCTAGACCCGTGTCTTCTATCTTCTGAGTGAGTTACGATATGAATATTTCAGCAAGTGTGTATAGTTAGGCAGTTAATTCTCTTTACATAAGTTATATAACAATGTTACAACCATAAGTATTTCAGCAAGTGTGTATAGCTAGTTAGGCAGTTGATTCTCTTTACAGAAGCCTATAGTCATTCAGTACAGTCATTCAAATGTTGTTGTCTTCTCTGTCTTTCTCTCCTAGTAAGTGCTGAAGTTACATCTCAGAGCTGTGGCTAGACCCGACAACATGCCGAGTGTCTACTGTCTCTCTGTCTAGACACTAACCTAGACCAGTGTGACAAACTATTCACCTCTCTCTCTCTCTCTCCTGTACATCTCAGTGCATTAAGAGGTGTCAAAAGTAATGAACATTACATCACATCTCTATTGAAATATGTAGGTATGACAATGGCAATAAACATGCACCAACTTAGAAAATGTTATCTCCTGCTGTCTGTCTGTTGCAAACGGTTTAGTATTTTCTCTTACAGAATTTGCTGAAACGCGTTACTATCAAAATTCTAAACTTGACCCACACTGAAACATCACCATCTTTAGTTACGTCATGTGACTTAAACCCTTTACACTTGGAGGAATTAACTTATATGAAATCGCCTTCAACTAGTAGCTGCTTTTCTTTAGCTATCCTAGCTGTGCCAATTAGGAACTGTGAAAAGCACACATTCCTCCATCAACCAAATCTGGCATTTTACGGTATACAGGCTGTGAGTGTAAAGGGCTAAATTAACTCCCATAATGAAATCTAAAAAGTATTTCTTTCTAATTTTACACAGAATGTTTCACATCGTAGATTTCAAATCCGCAGAGAAGGAGACAGAGGTTGTGCCAGCACCATGGGTCCAGGATGGCATGAGCTACTGGCCCCCCCAATGCTTGTACAGAATGATGCACAAGGTCGGTGAAGAGAAAGGAGGCGCCTGATGAAACCTGGGGTTTATTTGATGTTCACATCAGGTACACTAGAGGTACCTGATGTAGCTCAGTTGGTAGAGCATGGCGCTTGCAACGCCAGGGTTGTGGGTTCGATTCCCACAGGGGGCCAGTATGAAAAATGTATGCACTCACTAACTGTAAGTCGCTCTGGATAAGAGCGTCTGCTAAATGACTAAAATGTAAAAGTAAGAAGCCATTCTCATGTGGCAGAATGTATTAAAACCAACAATTTATATGCAGTTGTGTATTTTTTGTAAAACTGACAGCAATGTCATAAGAGAACAGTCTGTATCTGTAATCTGCAGCTAACAGGTATTATACATACACTATCGGTCAAAAGTTTTAGAACACCTACTCATTCAAGGGTTTTTCTTTATTTTGACTATTTTCTACATTGTAGAATAATAGTGAAGACATCAAAAAAATGAAATAACACACATGGAATCATGTAGTAACCAAAAAAGTGTTAAACAAATCAAAATATATGTTATATTTGAGATTCTTCAAATAGCCACCTTTTGCTTTGATGACAGCTTTGCACACTCTTGGATTTCTCTCAACCAGCTTCATGAGGTAGTCACCTGGAATGCATTTCAATTAACAGGTGTGCCTACTTAAAAGTTAATTTGTGGAATTTCTTTATTTCTTTATGCGTATGAGCCAATCAGTTGTGTTGTGACAAGGTAGGGGGGTATACAGAAGATAGCCCTATTTGGTAAAAGACCAAGTCCATATTATGTCAAGAACAGCTCAAATAAGCAAAGCGAAACGACAGTCCATCATTACTTTAAGACATGAAGGTCAGTCAATAAGGAACATTTCAAGAACTTTGAAAGTGCAGTCGCAAAAAAAAACATCAAGAGCTATGATGAAACTGGCTCTCATGAGGACCGCCACAGGAATGGAAGACCCAGAGTTACCTCTGCTGCAGAGGATAAGTTCATTAGAGTTACCAGCCTCAGAAATTGCAGCCCAAATAAATGCTTCACAGAGTTCAAGTAACAGACACATCTCAACATCAACTTTTCAGAGGGGACTGTGTGAATCAGGCCTTCATGGTCGAATTGCTGCAGAGAAACCACTACTAAAAGACACCAATAAGAAGAAGAGACTTGCTTGGTCCAAGAAACATGAGCAATGGACATTAGACCAGTGGAAATCTCTCCTTTGGTCTGGAGTCCAAATTTGAGATTTTTGGTTTCAACCGCTGTGTCTTTCTGAGATGCGTTTTGGGTGAACGGATGATCTCCGTATGTGTATTTCCCACCGTAAAGCATGGAGGAGGAGGTGTTATGGTGTGGGGGTGCTTTGCTGGTGACACTATCTGTGATTTATTTCGAATTCAAGGCACACTTAACCAGCATGGCTACCACAGCATTCTGCAGCGATATGCAATCCCATCTGGTTTGGTTTTAGTGGGACTATCATTTGTTTTTCAACAGGACAATGACCCAACACACCTCCTGGCTGTGTAAGGGCTATTTTACCAAGAAGGAGAGTGATGGAGTGCTGTATCAGATGACCTGGCCTCCACAATCCCCTGACCTCAACCAAATTGAGATGGTTTGGGATGAGTCGGACCGCAGAGTGAAAGAAAAGCAGCCAACAAGTGTTCAGCATACAGTGAGGGAAAAAAGTATTTGATCCCCTGCTGATTTTGTACGTTTGCCCACTGACAAAGACATGATCAGTATATAATTTTAATGGTAGGTTTATTTGAACAGTGAGAGACAGAATAACAACAAAATAATCCAGAAAAACGCATGTCAAAAATGTTATAAATTGATTTGCATTTTAATGAGGGAAATAAGTATTTGACCCCTCTGCAAAACATGACTTAGTACTTGGTGGCAAAACCCTTGTTGGCAATCACAGAGGTCAGACGTTTCTTGTAGTTGGCCACCAGGTTTGCACACATCTCAGGA